ATTACAGGCGCCCACCACCACACCCAGCTAATTTTTTTTTTTTTTTCCCCAGTAGAGAAGGGGTTTCACCCTGTTGGCCAGGATGGTCTTGAGATCTCCTGACTTCGTGATGCACACCCCAGTTGGCCTCCCAAAGTGCTGAGATTACAGGCGTGAGCCACTGCGCCCAGCAGAAGGGACAATTTTAGTTGTCCCTAAAGCCAATGGAAGTAGAGAGAGCAGATCGTAAGCTATTTAAGAGCTACGTTTGACCAGGTCGCAGTGATAGGCTATAAGGGAAAGAGAAGAGATTTCTGGTTTTGGAAACTTAGGGGCTGGCAACACACCAAAGTAAATCGGGAATATGTGAGGACAAGCAGATGTGGGAGCAGGGACGAGAGGTGTGGAGTTTAAGTACCATGCTGGACCTGAGGATATACTGTGATGGAACTGTTCAGTAGGTACCTGAGAGGGTGGAGCCTCAAGAGTCTAAGCAGAGATACAGATTTGGGAGTCACCGTCCAGTAGTGATTAAAGTCACAAGGTCTGATAGAAAAAGCAAAGAATACTGCCCCGTGTTGGGGCTCAGTAACGGATGCTGGAGAAATAAAGGTGAGCCAGTCCAGGTCTTGAGCCTCAAGTTTGATGATTTCTCTCTTTGCCCAATACCTAGCTTGCTAGGCCTTGTGCTGGGCATCAGGGATACAGGCATGCAAGCAAGGGTTCTTTCTTTAGGGAGTCCCTTGAGGGAGACACATGTAAAAGCAGATCAATTGAAGAAGTTGTGGTGGTATTACAGAGAGATGAAGTATTGTGGTTTAGATGACTGAGCTGCTGGCTAGGGGCAACTACAAAAGCTTTGTAGAGTCGGTGACGTTTCACCTGAATCTTTCGATAGAAGTTAACCAAGTAAAGGAGAGGGAAGAGAGATCTTGGGTGGCAGAAGCTGGATATGCAAGTTTGTAGAGTAGATGGTAAGGAGTGTCCAATAAGGGTGGAGAGATGAATTGTAACCAGAGTATGAAAAGTCTTGTATGCCAGTCTATAGTTTGGATTTTCTTTAGAAATAGAAAAATCAGTACAGTACTCCAAAGCAGGGCAGTGATGTAATGTGCTTTACTTCAGCAAAACAACTAACAGCCATAATTTTCACTCCTGCATTTAATTGGAGTGAAGAATACAGAAAAATCAAATCTTTATTGTTGTGGAAGATAACGTGTTGAGCATTGATAAGAATGCCAAAAGATATTAAATAGATTATCAGTCTTTAAATAGCTTTCAGTCCTCTTGGGGAGACACAAATGACTAACAATAAAGGCAGTGAATAAACATATAAATGGTGCTGAAGTTGAAAGGAGGTATTTGCCCATTATAAACTGAAGTAGTCAAGGAAGGTATGTTAGTTTGCCTGGGCTGCTATAACAAAGTACTGCAGACTGGATGACTTACCAGATTTCTTTTCTCACAGTTCTGGAAGCTAGAAGTCCAAGATCAAGGTGTCAGCAGGGTTGGCTGCTTCTGAGGCTTCTCTTTGGCTTATAGATTACATCTTCTTGTCCCTACTTCGTCCTTCCTCTGTTCATATCTTTGTGCTAATCTTCCTTATCTGTAAGAACACCAGTTACATCAGTTTAGGGGTCACCCTAAAGCCCTCATTTTAACTTAATTACGTCTTAGAGACCATGTCTCCAAGTACAGTTACATTCTCCAGGTGCTGGAGGGTAAGTCTTTATCATATAAATTTGGGGGGGAAGAGTGGAGACACAATTCAACGCATAATGGAGGATTTTATGGAGGAGCTGGGACTTGACCTGAGCTTTGAAAGGTGATTCATGTTGTGAGTAGTGTGCTGAGGAGGGGTTTAGGTGAGTTCTAGGACTTTCCAGATTGGGGAATGGAAGAAGTCAGATGTGCAGGTTAGGTCTCAGAGTATCTGGAGCAGGAAGGTATCACTAGGGAATAACTAAGGGAAAGAAAAAAAAATTTTTTTTTTTTTTTTTTTGAGATGGAATTTCACTCAGGCTCAGCCGTCACCCAGTGGTGACTGGAGTGCAGTGGCACGATCCTGGCTCACTGCATCCTTCACCTCCCAGGTTCAAGCGATTCTCCTGCCTCAGCCTCTCTAGTAGCTGGGATTACAGGCACCCGTCACCACACCCAGCTAATTTTCATATTTTTGGTAGAGACGGGGTTTTACCATGTTGGCCAGGCTGGTCTCAAACTCTTGATCTCAGGTGATCCACCCACCTTGGCTTCCCAAAGTGCTGGGATTACAGGCATGAGTCACTGCGCCCGGCTCAGAAAATTTTAGAAGTCATTTGAAACCAGATTTTATAGAGCCCTGTAGTCATTGTTTTAAATATTTTAGCCTAATGGAGAACAATTGTTTTTATTATTTTATTTTTAAACAGGATCAAAGCTGGTTCTCTTCATTCAGATCTTAGATCTCAGCTGAAATATTCCATCAAGGTATTTTCTGACCATCCTCTCTAGGCACTGCATCCAGCGATAGCACCTTGTTTATTTCTACCATAACACTTAGCAGAATCTGAGGTTATCTTTTTTATTTGTTTCCTTATTTAGCATCTGATTTATCTCACTAGAAAGTGGGGGTCTTGTCTGTTTGGTGCACCCCTATATTTCAGATAAATCTAACCATGCCCTGTACAGAATTGGAATTCAGTAAATAAATTGAATTAATAATAGGAGTATTTAATGTGTATGTTGGGTGAACGATCAAAGCTTTGTTCTAAGAAGCTCAGGCTAGCAGCTGTATTAAGATGGGTTTGGAAGGCATGACAGAAACAGTGAATACCACGTGGAAATATATTAGGATTCTTTAATAACAAGAACAGAAAATGGCTGGCTTGAATGGAAAAAGTAGTTTACTGTAAAGATACAGGACTTAAGAGCTAAAAAACTGGGCCAGGAAGAAGGACAAAAACCAAGCTAACTCCAGGAATCTATGTAGCAGGCACTAGCAAGGTTGCATTTTTCAGGCCTCCGCTGAGATAAATCAGCTTCATTTATTTATTGCCTTTGTCATTCTTCTCAGGATTCATATTCCAAGGACAAAGTTTCTGATTGATTTGGCTTTGATTGTATGGTTAGCCCAGAGCTAGGGGAGAGGAGCACATCAGGCTGTAGCACACAGTGGGACAAGAGCAGTTCTTCTATAGCAAAATCATGGGGCTGTTAACGGGATGGAATGGCTGTGTAGTGGCTGGAAGAAAACAGCCAAGGCTGTGACCAGAGTCTGCTAAGGTGCAAAGAAGCTTGAACTGTGTTAGAGTAGGATCATTCTGCTGAATGTGGCAGAGAACAAACCATCAAACCAAAATCAAACTCCCTTGGTAGAGACTGAAAGTGTGGTGAAATGGAATACAAGATAATAACATAGCTCCTCTTGAAGGATTGGATAAGCTAGTCTAGGTTTGAAATCTGAGGATATTTGCATTGTCACCAAGTGAGTGATGATAAGACTGAAACTCAGAGGCAGCTTCCTATCACCATCGAATAGTAAAATCCATTGGTAGGTGTTATGGCTAAATCCTGAGATCAGGGTTTGGGGATAAGCAGTCTGTGTGTGTGTTTATATTCCAGAGTCAAATGTAGATGCTTTGTTTTTTTAACTAGGTGTTTGCCTTGTGTTATGTGCATTCCCTCTCTTTTCTAGTATCATGGTTAGGACTACAGAAGCAATCCCCAATATCCAAAGGACCCATGTTCCCAGAGTTGAATTCTAGGTTGATGCTGGATATAAAGAGACATTTTCCTGTAGAACTGGTAGTAGCAGTTTTGTGGCTAGTCTGGGAGCCAACTTAATTTATAATGTACCTTTAGCTATGACACTAGTCCAAGTAGTAGGTGAGACTATTTTGATCCCTTTCCATCTCTCTCTCTCAACCCCTCACTCACCCCCTGGTACCCTTCTGAGTGCCAGCTCATGCTTTGCTTTCTTCTGCTTCTATCAGTAGAATGCTCTATATTCAAAATTGCCTACCTTCCCCCTCCCTCAAAAATCTTTTCCATATGACTGATTTAACACTCTATAGAGGAAAGTATTTGCATTGAATTAATTTATGTTAAGATGTGAGGCTGGGCGTGGTGGCTCACACCTGTAATCCCAGCACTATGGGAGACCGAGATGGGCGGATCACCTGGGGTCAGGAGTTCGAGACCAGCCTGACCAACATAGTGAAACCCTGTCTCTACTAAAAATACAAAAATTAGCCAGGCCTGGTGGCTGGGGTCCCAGCTACTCAGGAGGCTGAGACAGGAGAATTGCTTGAACCCAGGAGGCAGAGGTTGCAGTGAGCCAAGATCGTGCCACTGTACTCCAGCCTGGGTGACAGAGTGAGACTCCATCTCAAAAAAAAAAAAAAGAAGATATGAGTCCCCCACCCCCTTAGCATTTATTACCTGAGGAATTTGAAGTGATGGTATGAAATAATCTTCTGGAATCCAGTTCTGAAGGGTTTTGTAGTCATTCCAGGGAATTGGAAGTTGAGGCCAAGGCAAGCCCTTGCAAGGTTTTAAGCCCCAGCAAGGCCGATGAGCATTTCTGAAAAGTGTCTATGGGTAGAAATGTAAAGAATGGAACCTTTAGTATTACAGGTTGACTATTCCTTTCTGAAATGCTTGGGACCAGAGGTGTTTCAGATTTCAGATTGATTGGGATTTTGAAGTATTCGCATTATACCCGGTGATTCAGTATCCCTAATCCAAAAATCCAAAATGCTCTAATGAGCCTTTCCTTTGTGCATCATGTCATTGCTCAGAAAGTAGTTTTGGGTTTTTGGACTAGAGATATTCAGCTTGTATTATAATTGTCAAAGGAGTGATGAGTCCCAAGCCTTCCTTAGGACTATTCACTCATAGTTAATAGTGAGTAGTTCCCACTATTCACTCATCCACCATCCTACCCCCTGGCCAAATTAATTGCTTCCTGGAATCGGTATCCCCATAGCATTCTTCACATCCTTCATTAATTGTTGTCTGTCCTACCATGGAAGTGTGAACTACAGGAGAACAAGAAGCAAGCCAGTTACTCATCTTCCCATCACCAGCACCTGTTGTGATACATGGTGGGTAGCAGGCCCACACAAGCATCTGTGAGGGGAAGAGGAGAAGGAAGGAAGATGTGCATGTGCCACATGGGAAGTGCTGAATATACTGGGGCTTTCGAACATGTTGCCTCTTCTGTCTTTCATAAAAATCCTATGTGGTGGGTAGTGTTAGCCATGTTTAACAGGTAAGGAAACTAGTCAGAAAGATTGAGTCATCTTTAGAAGGTTACATGCCTACTAGGTGGCAGAGCCAGGATTTGAGACAAATAGACTGATTTGAAAGGCGTTTCCATGGAACTGTAAGGTCCTCCGTGAATTGTTAACCATAAAGATTCTCTCATTTTGAAATTTCAGAAGACATGAAGTAGAAACAATCCAGGCAGGCTTTGGGAACCTATTTGTGTGCGAGGATCAAATTGGTAAGCAAGCTGGCCCTGTTTCAGAAACTGGTTTTCCTGGGGGGTTTTCCTTTTAGCTTTTTCTGTTGCTCATAAATAGACCTTTTCTTCCAAATTTCACCCACTTGTCTTTTAAGAGCTCCAAGGTTTTTCCGCCATGACTGAAGTGGCAGAACTTCTGCCGTGATGAGTCAGGTGGAGATGAGCCGTGGAAAGGAGGGGCGTAGATGATGGTGGCAGCAGTGCATGTTTATATGTAAGATGCACTGCTTCTGTAAGTCGGAGGCCCTGATTACTCATAATGAAAACTTGCATGGAAATTTGGAGTGATGTGCCAGCAAACTTACCGGTCTAGATCTGAAAAATACACTGAGGAGAAAGTACACCCAGCAACAAAGTTCGCCTTATCTGACAGCAGAAGAGCAGAGAAATCAAAAGTTTTTGAGGATTCGGTCTACACAGCCACCAGCCACAAACAGTCTTGCTGGATTATCTTGTGATTGTCAGCAGTTGTGATTTTCCCCCTTTTACTTACATTCTTGATGGAGCATTTTATATTTTTAGGTAATTGTTAAACTCAAATATACTGTCATTAAAACACAAAAATTCAGTATGTTGTCTGTTTGCAGCCAGAGTAGGAAAGGGTACATTGTTTTCAAAGCTTAATTGAATTAAAATGTAAAAAAAGCAAGGGCCTTAATATAAAGGTGAGGGATCTGCATCTCATTCTAGACATCTAGAGTCTCCAGATCCTGGGGTACTGGGGAGAATGGACAATGTTGCTTTCCTGTGCAAGATCCTCAGATAACATATTTTAGCCCCCAAGGCACTAATGCCTCCCTCTTCCTCCAGCCTCATGGGCGTTTCCTCCCCCATGTGTACCTTTACCTTTCACCAGACAAAGCCACCTGTGGTTCCCTTGGATTCCTCCTGCTCTGTCTTGTCTCTGTGGTGCTGCGTGTACTGCAGCCCAGCCAGCTGATATGAATCCTGCCCTGCTACTTATTATCTGTCTGACATTGAGCATGTTACTTAACCTTCTGTGCCTCAGTTTTCTCATCTGTAGAATGGAGATAATAATAGTACCTAATTCCTAGGGTTGATGTCAATATTGGGTTGATACATAAAAAGTGTTTACTTTTGTGTATGTGGCAGAATAAGCACCCAAATTATAGCTGTTATTAAGTACCTAATTACTGTTCTTCTGAATGGAATGAAAAATAAATACTTATCCCTTGAAATGCCCTTCATCCTTCCTGCCTATCTCTTCCCGGCATTCCCTATAAAACTTTCTTCGTATAACGCCCTTCCTGGTCTCCATCTCACCTGGCTCTGATGCCTGTCATCCATACTGCGTCTCTACCTCTACAAACATCCTATCTGCTGCTTAGCATACTGGACTAGGCTGATGAATTGACCTGTCCTCTTCCTGCGCAAGACCTTAAGCTCCATAAGGCAGGGCCGTACTTGTTAAATTGGTATCTTCCATGTCTAGAAGGGTTTTAGCACACCCTAGACAGATGCTAGCCATAAGTCTATAACTGTCTGGATAACCTTAGGCAAATGACTTGACCTCTCAATGCCTCAGTTTTCTCATTTGTAAAAAGGATTGATGACACTCTAGTTCAGAGGATGATACGAGAATTGGAAGAGGAAACTAGAGGCAGTGTCATGTAGGGGTTAAGAGCTTAGCCTCTGGAGCCAAGCCAGCTGATGCGAATCCTGCTCTGCTACTTATTATCTCTATGACGTTGACCATGTTACTTGACCTTCTGTGCCTTAGTTTTCTCATTGTAAAATGGGGATAATAGTACCTACCTCCTGTGGTTGATGTAAATATGGAGTTAGTACATAAAAAGTGTTTACTTTTGTGTATGTGACAGAATAAACACCAAATTTTAGCTGTTATTAAGTACCTAGTTACTGTTCTACTGAATGGAATGGGAAGTAAATACTCTGTAAAGTTGTCCTGCAGTTGTGTATCAGGAATTTGGACATCCCAAGGCACTTTTCAGGCTGGTGTGATGGCTCTAAATGGAGGTTATAGGAAAGTTAAGTTTTAAGTCCCCAATAATTTTCAGGGACAGTGAGTATTTCTCTTACAACTTAACTCTGAGTGACTTTATTATTGTCCCCTAGTTCATAGATGTTTTCATTCAAAGAAGATAGAAGTCTGTGATCCAAGAAATTTGAAGCAGTGACTTAGAGCAGAAATAGGGATCATGATACTTTGAATAATGCATAAAGAAGGAAACCTTTCTAAACAAAGAACAGGGACACAAATACTGCTTTTTTGGCAACAGGATGCATACGGTCTGTGGAATATCATTTGCTTCAGGTCCAGGGATGTAGAAAACTCCCCTTGGTTTAGTCTTCACACTGAAGGGCCAGGACAAGCCCTTGGAAGGGAGGTTTGAAGTGGTTAGCCTTTACCTGTGCTTCAAGTTCTGTTTGTGTCTTAGTTTGGATTCCCCCAAAAGTAGACCCTAAGATAAAGATTCAGATGTAGATGTTTATTTGGGAAGTGATCCCAGGAAGCACAAGAAAGGAAGTAGGGACAGTAAGGCAGAGATGGAGGCTCATAAAGGGTACACTGATGAACAGGTTGCTGCTCACATGTAGGATATCAAAACTGAATTCTTAAAAAAAATCAGAACTCCTGTTTTTTCTGTCAAACCTCGTCTCTCCTAAGGATGCCCTTCCAGTTATTTTGGCAGAATGCTTAACTCCACACCTTCTGTTTTCTCCTGCAGTGTGTCCACTAGAAATCCTAATGACTCTGCCTTTACCTCCATTGCTACCACCCTAGTCCCAGCCACTATCCTCTCTCATTTGAGTCATTACAGTGGACTGCAAGCCGGCCCGCAGCTTCCATCCTAACCTACCCTCTGTTGTCTACTCTCAACAACAGAGCCAGAGCAATCCTTTGGAAGCATAATTCAGGTCTTTGTCATTCCTCTGCTCAGAATCTTCAGTGGCTGTCCATTTCATCCATAGTAAGAAAGAAAGTTCTTCTGGAGGTCTCCCAGCCCTTGACAGTCTGTCGTCGTCTTCTTGCCTCTCAGATGTCATCTTGCATGGTTCCCAGCACACACTGCTCCAGCCCTTCTGTTGCCTTAGCTTCTCCTTTTGTTGTGATGTTCTTCCTCCATTTATCTCCATGGCTCATCCCTCGCCTCCTTCATACCTTCTCTGATCCCATTTTGATGAGTGAATGACATGAGAAGTTCCTGGTACATTTTATAGTGTAGGTTCCTGTATAGTTAGGTGCTATATAAATGGTAGCAACTATTATCTTATTTAATTCCCACAATAGCATTATGTGGTAGCTGCATTATCCTTATTTTATAGCAAGGTAAACTGAGGCTCAAAGAGGTTGGTTAGCCTAGAACACTGGCTCTCAAAATATTTTGACTGACCCACAGGAAGGAATACATTTTATATCTCAATCCAGTCCATGCTTGCTTATGTGAATATGTACATATATATAATAGAAACAAAAGTTTCTCAAGCTCGTAATTCACCTTATGACATTTGATGCATTCTGATATTTTCTGCTCTGTCCTAGTCATTTATTTTTTAAATGCTAATTTTAAACCACCAAATTGAGTTTAAGAACCCCTTTTGACAGAGACTATCCAAGCCTTTAATTCTGTATTGTTAATTCTGTGTTACAGCTTTTCCCTGTGGCAACATCTGAACTAGCTTTGTCAAAAATTATTAGTGCTAAAAACTCCTCAGTACCCAGCTGAGTAATACATGTAACATTATAAGCTTATGTCTTTTTCTGCTGACCTCTGTAAAATATGATAAGGGTTTCTTTATACAGATAGATGTAAAGAACGTCTGGTAGGAATAAGGAAAATTTGAATGACTAACAGAAGAAAAAGGAAGGGAAATTATCTCTATCAAGTAGTCACAAATAGAATAATTTTTTAAAAATAGAGGAATTAAAATTTACCATTTACTTTGAAAGGATGGTAGGCGGGAATGGAGAGAAACTTGGTACAGTCTGACCAAAGCAGTTGTTTGTGGACAGGCTAAAGGCATCATCTCTAGAAGCAAAGTCCTGTGTTGCAGTCAGTTAAATTGAGTCGCATCTTATCAGGGAGTCAGAAGGAATTGTATACTGCATGTGGCCACTCCCAGGTTGACAGCCTAGGAGACTCTGGGCCCTTCTGAAGAGCCTGGTGGCTGGGGTAACCAGCAAAGGCCAAAAGAGAACGTACAAATGTGCTGGGGTCAAGTTTGGTTCATCTACAGTTTGCCCTCTAGAGAAAGATAAAACCGTCACAAATATTCTTAGTTACTTGGGATACATTTAATCTTAGAAATAAATGTCTTAACAATATTTGAAAGAAAATATGGCATTATAAAATGAAAGGGATGAGCCAGGTGCATTGGCTCACGCCTGTAATCCCAGCACTTTGAGAGGCTGAGGCAGGCAGATCACGTGAGGTCAGGAGTTCGGGACCAGTCTAGCCAATATGGTGAAACCCCATCTATACTAAAAATACAAAAATTAGCTGGGCGTTGTGGC